AAAAAATGAGAAGGTTTCAATTATTGCCATAGACATTCAAAAGTTTGCTAACAGAGAACCACCAATTGTTCTGGACAGACAACAAGGCAGAGGGAAATGACATCTATTGCTCTCTCTAAAGCAGGGGTCACCAACCTTTAGGATCTCAGGGACCACTAAATTCATAATTTTAAATCCTGCGGATCACTAATTTGATCTCCCTAATGGTCAGCTGGGTGGGCGGGGCAAGGTTGTCATGTGACTGGGTGAGCATGGCCAACTCAATGTCACTCATCTCGAGGGGCGCCTTCCCAACCTCTACTCGCCACTCCTCGCCTGAGCTCCTTAGGGCACCAAACAGGAAGCAGTTGCTGGAGTTGCTGAGCAGCCACCATGAGAAAGAGTTGGCAAAATAGCTGGCTCAGTTCAAATTGGATCTAACTGAGAAGGAGGCTCAGCAGAAACACCTCACTGAGTACTACGAGCAAAGGCTTTCCAAGCAGAAGGAAGATCTGCAGGAGTACAAGGCCAGTTGCCAGCCCCTGGAGGCTCAGCAGGCTGAGAATGTCAGCCAATTCCAGACCATGATGTGGTCCCACTGGAATGAGGCCTCCGTCTCTTTGCCACCAGTGGCACTTCCCTCCAGCCTTCGCCCAAAGCCCTACACAAAGAAGCTGAAGCAGACCTCAAGTCAGAATTTCTCCCCTCCCCCCTGACCCCTATGAAAAGACCCCAAAGGGGGAGCCTCTCTGCAGCAACACAAACGTTCATCGCACTTATCCGGCCCAGGGGCCGTAGTTTGAGGAGTCCTGATTTAGTGCAATATTAAAAAATGCAAATAATGTTCCTACAGACCATCAAAATTTTCTCACGGACCACCAGTTGTTGACCACTGCTCTAAAGAGACAGCTCTTAACAGACCAGGATAGAAATGTCTGATCTTTAGGCAGGAATGAAAACCAGGAGACTCTGGAGTTCTAGTGCTTCCTCGGGCATGAAAGCCAGTAGGGTGACTTTGGATCAGTCACTCTCTCAGCTCAACTCACTTCACAGGGTGGTTATAGTGGGGAAAATAAGAAGAGGAAAGAGATATGCTGTCCATCGTGCATTATTTATAAAAATAATAAAGGAAGGATTAAAAAAAAAAATACACTATCCACTAATATGTGGAGAGAAATATCTCAGGGCAGAAAGCTTTGGTAAACAGCAAAGGAAAAAGGACTCTTCTGGGGAAATATCCTGATTATAGAGCTTATAGTATAGAGAAGCAGCACCTTCTGCATTCTAAGGAATTACTCAAACAAGATAGAAGCACCCTGTGAAGATTCAGAGTGGGTCGGTGGGTAGATCCTCACCTTTGCTGGCGGTGCAGAGAAACACAAGGATCAAGACAGCTGTCGCCTGCATGGCTTTCTCCACCACACGCAGTCTTCCCAACATGGTCACATAGATATGTCAACAAGGTTATATCTCCAGAAATATCCGGCAGGAAGCTACAGCTGGCCAAATATTTACTTAGGGTTGGCGTATCAGCAATAATTCCACAGCTTCAAAGCACATGGGGTACGGTTGCCCATTAGACCCTCAGTACAGTGAGCCCTCAGAAGCAGTATTTCTCCGCTTCTCTTTTTCCACTCTGCCCCAGTTTCACAAAAGTTCCCAAAAAGAGACAATCACTCCCCAACTTCCCCAAATGTAATGTAAAGTGAGGCTGGGAAATTGCTCCATATCAGTTCAAGCAGGCCTTGGGTCAAGAGCCTTCCCCTTCCTGTTAGTGGTCAAACAATGGGACCGCCCTACAGTCTCATCGATCTTTACTGCTGACCAAGCCAAGCAGATTGAAAAGTTTCCAAGAGTCCAGCACGAGCCAGATCTGAAAAAGATAGTTGCCAAGTTACGGCCCGGCAGTCTTCTTATGCCAGTGTTTCTCAACCTTGGCAACTTTAAGCTGTGTGGACTTCAACTCCCAGAATCCCCAGCCCTGACTAGGAATTCTGTGACTTGAAGTCCACACAGCTTAAAATTACCAAAGTTGAGAAACACTGCCTTAAAACATTGGCTATATATGACCAATAAAGAAAAACTGACATTTGCAAAAAGATGTTCAGCTTCAGTCTACAAAGCAAGAATATCCTTACCTTTCCATTGCTGAGAAGGACCTTCACAAGGAACTTGTTCTTATCTTGGAGAAAAGGAGCTCCACTGATTTCTATCTTTTGGGTGGAGATCATGGGTGGGCATTATTCAAAATTAGAAATCCAAAAAGATCTAACATTCCTGAATAACAATGGGAAATGCCTTGGTTATACAGTAGTTAATGGCACAAAGCCATTTGCCAGATTATTTGTCTAACATTTTGTTCCAAAACATGTTTATTCAGAGATTTTACGCAGTTCCAGAGTATTTTTCCCCTCACAAATATGTTATGATATCTCCAAGCTTTGTAAATCAGTAGAGATATTTAAAATTTAAGATCATGTCCTAAGTATTCCTCTGATCACAAGCTAATCATAATAAACCTAGACAGAGAAACCACTGTTTTATTTATCGCCTCGGTTCAAATACCGCATAGTGGAATTCTATATTAATTAAGATACTGGACTGATTTGAAAATCCAGTTCAAGTTTTTGAACTGCTTGTATTTTGGGAGGATCTATAAATATCCAGTCCATATTTTGTAACAGTTACACGCAGTTACACGCAAGAGAATAGACTGGGGTCAGCCACAAAAGTTTGTGGTTGTTTTGTTCTGTATAACTTTTAATTGGATTTAAATGAATACTTCTCATAGATACAGACTTAACCGGGGATATAATTAAAGTTTGTGAAGTGCACCATCTTCAGCTTCACTGTTTCCTGGAATCTTAAGGCTGATTCACATGAGCAGCTTTTCCTAGATTAAGTACTGACCATTTCTCAGGGGCAAAGACAGTGACAATTGCAGATGTATGTCAAAATCAGCAAGATGTCAGACAGAGCATTGCAATGTGAACCCCCATCCCATTCCAGCATATGTCAACATCACATTCACATTCAAAAAGGCTGGGGCTTCGTTCACAATCTTCAATTTGCCATCTTGCTCCATCTTGCTGATCTTGACTGCTCCTTGTGGACATTAAATAAAAAGCAACACATATCCCATTACATATCAAAAGTAATATTCCCAACTTGTGCCAAGTCAAGTAGCGCTGTCTGGTTCTCCGGCTATGCTTCATTTCATTGTAGGCAAATATCCCACTCCAACTGCTTAATGTGTTGGGTGCAGCAACATTTTCTTCCCTCTGGTTGCTGCCTTCATTGCCCTTTAAAAAAAAGATAAGTACATCAATGGAATGTGAGTAGCGTTTTGTTGCTTTTGCTTCATTTATATACCCTCTGTGTATGTGTATGAAAGAAATGTCCTTCTGGGTTCAGCTCCAAGTGGGGAAGAAGACACTTGAGACATGGAGGCTGCTTGGAAAGATGGTTTATTGTTGGACAGGACCACATGGCTTGAGCCCTGAACAGAAAAGGTGATCACATGCTTCAATGTTGGTGGAGAAGAAGAGAAGGGCTGAGGAAGTGGCTTGCTAGGCTTTTTATAACCTGTTCAGTCCCACCTCTCTGTTTCCTGTCCCACCTCTCTGTTTCCTGTTCCTGTGTAAGAAATGTATTCTGATTGA